CGAGTTATATCAACATGACAATCACCCATTCTATAAACAGTTAAACGAGCTTGATTATCATCAGGTGATATTAAACGAAGCATATGAGGTATTTGAGCTAATTTAAATCTATCATATGCAAACATTTCTTCAGCTATTGATTTACTTATATGTAAACATTCAAAACGAAGATCACGATCACGTAATTTATATGCTTGAATTGATAGACAACGAAGATCATCACGACTAGGTTGCCAATCACCTGGGAAAAAAGGCGATATACATAGAAAACAATTGATTTAATCATTCTTTTCTATATTTACCTAAATTAAGTTTAGCATCATAAGCAAATGATCCAAATTGAAATTGTGGTGGTGGAAATGAACAAAGTTCAACATTATAATTTGATTTAAAAGCTGTTTCGAGTATATATCCAATAATGAATGAACATGTTCTCCAATAAGCACGATTTTGTTCTTCACATTTATGTTCCATAAAATGAAGAAATTTTAGTGTACAATCACGTTCTAATGGACGATTCATATCCCATATATATTGATCATCAACTAAAGCTAAACAAGATCGTTCAACTAAAACTGACGATAAATGTTGAGCACAATGATAAGGTGTTGAGATATTTTTATTCATTAATAATTTTGTTGATTGAATTGGATCATGAACATCAACTTCAATTTTTTCTACACGACGTATACGTTCTATTTGAGTTTGACGTTCATTAGCAAATACTCGAAGACGATGAGCACGAATTTCATCATTTGTTAAACGATTAATAGAAACTGAAGATGATGTTGATTGATGACGATGAATTATACTTGAACAAGCTCGAATTTTCAACATTTTTCTTTAAACAAAAACCACAATTATATGAAGAATTTTATTTCAATAGATGATTATCCTTTGATAGACAAGAAAGAAACATATGATTCATATCTTACTTCTCTAGCCACCAATTAAAAACAATCCTAAGAAGAGAGCCTCTGTCGACACAATCAATGCAAAAAATAAAATAAAACACTTCGATAGTTGAAAGTCACGCTTAACAAAAGTTGGGATATTTCACTTTCTGCTATCTTACTTCTTTTACTTTAAACACATTCAATATGCTTATTATTATAGTTCATACATAAACAGTATTATGTTTGAGGTGAAGCTGTGTTTACAGTAACAAAGTATTTCTCTCATTAGAGATAAATTAATATAAAGTATGTCAATTAGGCTTTATAAAGGGCGAACAATATCTATGATGGGAGTTAGTGGCTATCTTTAATTTATCTAGCTTCTTTTCTTTTAAATCTTTTTGTCATCATATAAATTAACTTAGACCAAACAATTGCACTCCTAAACGATCATAAGTTGTCGTCTATTGGCGCATTACATTGTTCACTATTACGATCGTAAACATTGTCATTTAGCTAGTCCATATGCGAGAACTTTATGCATCATCCGTTCTTACACAATATTTCGCTGTAAACGGTCCTATTTCTCTGTCTGCAAGTTATGAAGAAATACAGCTGTGATACTGAAGCATATTGTATACAAGTTTCATTTTCTTGGCTTTGTAAATGAACCAAAGGTCTCACTAGGACAGACTGAGTGGAAGAAAGTTTGATTGTGAGTTATTGATCATTGATCCTGATCAACTCATGATTTTTTCTAAAAAGATAGCCTGCCCATGGACTATTCATGTAATTGTATATTAAACAATCCTTTATTCATGAGAAAATCGCTAAGAAAGAATGAGAATCCTTTAATATAGATTAAAATAACTTTCTCATAAAACATTTGTGAATGTTCTCAAAATTTTTCGTTCGCATATTTTCGAATATAGATTGACTGATGCAATAACCCGTTTGAAAGTATTCTCAAAAATACATTAGAAGAATATGAGCTAATCGATAAACAGTTGATCTATCTCGGCAACTATTCAAAATATAATCATGAGAAAGACAATCTGTTCATCGTCATCTTCGACTATCGATGATTACGTCAAGATTCTGAATTATTTTCTTTTCTCTATGTATAATAGAAATATTTTATCATAATAAAAGAAAAAATTTAACTTTTTTTGAGGAATAAACATATGATTACTTGTACAGATTTTTTATTGAATTAATAAATTACTTCCAATCCCATGAGATGATGAGTTCCTATTTATAAGAAACTCCAATGAAACGATTATGAAAAAGTTTCATGAGAATTTAATTCAGCATTTTGAGAAATAAATGGAGAAAATTGATTTTAATACAATTAATAGTGGACAAAACTGTTCGGATGATCTTTTCAATTGAGTTATTTTTCTTTTACAATCGTTCAAAAGAACTGAAACCATAGCAATAAACATCATTTTCTAGTAAATTTGCAGTGTCACAAGCTCTTTCAAATATGATATTTGGGAAGGAAAATTGTTCATTATATGAAAATGATAAAGAGTTTAGATGAACATCGATAGCTGTCTCTCATAAAATAAGCATGTCACTTCATAAACTCTTTACTTTTAGAAAGGTTTAAGTTATCAAAATGTAGTTTGTGCTTTGCTTCTTTTTTATTTATATGGTTTCAATTCTTTTGAACGATTGTAAAAAAAAAACTCAATTTAAAAGATTGTCCAAAAAAATTAGTTTTATGAAACTGAACTACTTCAGATTGTTATATGTCCAGTTCAGTATAACTCAACACTTAGAGATAAAATTTTCTGTGAACATA